CACCGAAACATACTGGTTCTTAGTAGCGAATACGGGAATAGGATCCCTAAATAATCCTCATATAATCTATTCCCTTATGCCCTACTAGCTCAAGTAAAAAAAGCCCTGAACATGCCCAAGTCCCAAAACCTAAACGCTAATCCAGGTCGCCTATGTCACACGTCAGGCTATAGGAACGGTAGCCTTTCCTTGGCCGCAACGGGGTTCTGAATTGCATCATGCTTATCGTTAATGATATTGAATAGTATTTTCATTGTTTTCATTATTGAAGGAAATACTACTGTCATACACATCTGTACATGAGGGTCGTATATTGCTATGCTTGCTGTACTGTTCTTGTGACTATTTTGTTATTTTTAGTATAGTATTCTTGTTATTACTATTACCATTATATTTCTTAATATTATTGGTATCCTTGTTATGCGCGGCAGGCTTCGGATTCAGTTTTTGGGCCTTTGGGTATGGGAATGAGTCTTTCCTGGGCCACTGCTTTGTTTTGTGATGAAAGGCTTATGTACGGCTTGGGGCGTTCATAAACCCTAAACCCCTAAACCCCAAACCCTAAGATTGAGGCTTTGCCGCATCCCGACTCTGAATTCAAAGCATTCAGGACATCCGGCTACAGTCCCGGTGACACCTAGTATTGCTTAGCCAGGGTAATCTCCTTTTATATTGAAGCAGCTCCCAGCCCAAATATCATCCCTAAATCCGAAAGAAATGCCGAAATGGATTTGGGGTCTATCTACATGCTCCTCTTCAAGCACGGTAGTTGAAGCTTTTTGCAAAAACAAGGTAAACCCGCAAGAGAACTTCATAGAAACCGCTTGGTAAGGTCGACGCAGGATGCACAACACTATCCCCAAACTGGAAGCCCCCTTCCTGAGATTTCCTATGCCAATTGTGAGAGATGCTTACCCCATGAAACTCTACGATGCTTGACGGAAATCCTGCATCACCCTATACGCTCCTTATCTTGGCAATTCCAATACTTGAGGATCTCCGTGTCGTATGAGATGCCCTCGATCTACAGTACCCAAGACCAGACAGCTTGAACCTTTCAAGCATGAAAGCCAATTTTGTTTATGTTTACCCATGAAAACCATTGCAACATCCTCCAGCCCTTTGCACTACATGGTGGCGTGGACCCTCTTCCTGCCATTTTCAGATTCCAGTCGGCCAGCCCCATGAACCCTAAGCCGTAGGTGGACCCCCCACCCGGTAATAATAGTGACGATAGGGGATAAACAGGATTCTATCAGGGTCCTATACCACTATTATGGTGGGGGGTCCTCCTAACCCAAACCTTTAACTTCGAGACTCAACTTGCGAATTCGTTGTAGACGCCAAACTGATACCTTGACAAGCTGCGCACCCTAACTTTCTAAGCCTCACTAGATCCACTCCCTAAGCCTTGTAAAATCTGAGCCGTAGAAACCCCGCATGAGCCCACAACACAGAGAGGCGTACCTAAATCCTTAAAGTACGCAAAACATGGCCCGAAGCTGCCAAAAAACAACGCACAAAGCAATTATCTACATGCTTCATGGAACCCTAATGCCTAGGGTTTTGGGTTTTGGGCTGGGGGTTCAGGTACTCTTGGATACCCTAAAACCTTAAACCCTGAACTCTAAACCCTAAATCATGCATAGGAGGATCTCTTCGGCGGACTGCTGCCGACTCTGCATGTCCTTCCTCAGCTCTGTCTTGCTACCAAGGGTTCAGGGTTTAGGGGTAGAAACCCTCGGATCTGATGTAGAATGACATGGAAACTGGGTATATGTTTCAGTTGCATTGAGGAGTGCAGGGCCTAAGAAGTTACCAATATCATGTTGTCTCTATTTGAAGTGCTCTATACCAGACGTCTACAAGAAATCTGATTTGGCAACTGGCCTGTAGTCCTAAGGTGCAAAGTCCATGAGTTATAGTCTAAATTCCTTGCATCCCTTTTAATAGCCCCTATACTACCACTCCATATGATCTCCTATATAGCCCCTCTTAGTAAGCCCTAAACCCTAAACCCCTAAACCCTAAACCCACCTGACGTGGTGCACCATGTCCTCCATCTACAGTACGGTAGAATTGAGGGTGAGGGTTGGGGGTGAGGGTTGAGGATGGAGGCTGCGGGTTTATAGTGCCAAGGTGAAGGGTCTAGGGTCTAGCTTTTAAGGTTCAGGTTTTAGGGTTTAGGTTTAGGGTTTGGGGTTTTTAATTGAGGGTTTAGGTTTTAGGGTTTAAGGTTTATAGGTGTTAGGTTTTAGCGTTTAGGGTTTGGGGTCAAGGGGTCAAGCTTTAGGATTTAGGGCTTAGGAAAGTTCAGGGTACCAGGCGATGTTGGGGCTTACATGGAGGTTTGTTGGAGCTCTGGTTGAGGCTTCTCTTGAGGTTGCTATGAAATTGTCGTGTCACCTCTGGCCGCAAAAGCGCACACTCGGAGGGTCAGGGGGGGCTTAGTAAGTAGGTTTATAACCTCTCTAACACCAAATAGCAACCCTAATTATCCCCACTATTAACCTACTTGCTAAGTCCCCACGACCCTCCAAGTAGTGGAACCCGAAAAAATTTACCCAACAAAGGCTTTTGTCCTTGCAGTTGCTCTGCAATTTCAACCCGTCCTTCAAGTCTGAATCAAGCTCCCCACAAATTTAACCCTAAACCCTAAGCCCCAAAGAATTTAGCGGGCTTGGCAAAGTGGCTGACTGAGAAACAAGATACTTTTCGGAAAATCCTGGGGACCTTGCCTCTGGGGCGTGTAGGAGACTGCACTAGTGTCGACAACTTGAAGCACTCATGGCGCCAGAAATCATCTAAATGGAATAAACTGGTAAACCCTGAACCTTAAGCCCCAAACCCGAAATCCCAATACCTTAGAGCCCAAAGCCTGCAATCGCTATAACCCCACAGCCGCTGAAAGGCAACGAAAGAAACTCGGCACATTTCTGCTGGCAAATGTCCAAAGTTGGCAAGCCTGCGTACGAACCCAACCATATTACATGGGCCTAAATAACTATCAATATCATCTTGAGGTCCATTTGAAGTACCATAGGCCATAATTATATCAGGAATATGGAGCCACAATTTTGGTAATTCTTTAGGCCCATATATTACCCTGAAAGCCTTAATGCAATACAAACCCTTAGGCCCTGAAGGCCCTAACAACGATGCCAAAAGCACTGACCCAGCTTCTCCGGCAGTTCGAAGTGTTTCAGGTTTCGGCTTGTACCAGGACCCCCCCTTTGTACCCTTAAAATAAGGATATATGGTCCCTAATAATGGTACATAGGGGGTAGATGTAGGGTCTAGGTAGATGCCCTAGGGATCCAAATAGCAGATGTAGGGTCTAGGTAGATGCCCTAGGGATCCAAATAGCCCAATGTAGGTAACATTTACACACTTTAGGGCCCAATGAAGGTAACATATTTGCATAATTGGATCCCTAGGGTAGGCTTAAAAAAAAGAAGGCCCCGTGAAACAGATCGTTTCGAGCTGGCAGCTGCGGATTGTCAAGGGGTTTAATTACCCACCGCTTGGTAATACTTAGGCCCCCAATTGGCATTAGCAGGCATAACCCATAAAACTGTAGTCAATTGGGGGTCAGGTAGGGCGCCCTAAGCCCTAAACCGGAGGCTTAAACCCTAAACCCTAAAACCCTAAACCCCTAAACCCTAAACCCCTAAACCCTAAACCCTAAACCCCTAAACCCTAAACCCCTAAACCCCTAAACCCCAATCTCAGGACCCAACACATTGGAGTGTTTCAAGCCTACAGAATCCTTAGCAGTGACCCCTCCTTGGAGGGTCAGGGGGACTTAGTAAGTAGGTTAATAACCCCTATAACCCATACTGAATGAGCTATAGTCTAAACTCCTAGTATGCCCCCTAATATGCCCGTTAGGACTCCCCTACATATAATCCCTTTAAGGTGTTTAGACGAGGGCACATATCGTAAGTCTAGTTATCCCGATTATTAACCCAGTTGCTAGGTCCCCATGACCCTCCAAGTCCGCACCCTCTGTTGAATCCCAAATCTGTACCCACTGAGGGCGCCTGTTTTGAAAAGCCCTCAGGTGGATAAGGCCGACACCAAAAGATTTGGAGGATATAGTCCCCCTTAAGTAGAAAGAATATGGCTTTGGGTATTTTACTATAAGATCCCCACATACCCCATATTCTATCTACTTAAGGGAGACTATAACCTGACCCTGGGGCTCCATGTCTATAGATAGTACCTACATTGGGCCCCAAACTCTATAGATATTTCCTACATTGGGCTATTTGGAGCCTTAGGGTGAGGAAATGGGAGGTCTCAAGATCATGGCTCGTTTGTGGCAGTGTTTGATAGGGCCTAGTGGATTCAAACTGAAGCTATTTCTTTATGGACCTTTTCGTTTCAGGGGTGCTGTACAATGAGCCGTGGTGGTCTGCAGAGGAGCCCTTACTCAGATTATGTGTGGATTATTTTCTCCTGGTACAATCGTGCAATGCTGGAGTCATTGGAAGACTACTGCCCTACCAGACGCTACCAGCTCTAAATTCTGCGCCCTGTATACGTACGGCTTAAACCCGAACAGGATGCCATGGGCCTTTCTGTTGGACAACATGCACCGTCAGGACACGGCACAACATAACGACACTTTGTTGCCCATCCTCAATTCCTTTTGGCGTTTTGAGAAAGTTGGTCGGACTGGGGGGGAAATGATGACAAAGGGCGAATAGATTTCTGGAATGGATCATGTTAGCAACGGTTCAATGACGTAGCAAACCCCCAAGTCCCAAAGCGGTCTTGGAGTTCAGCAAACATGTGTATCATATGAGCTATAGTTTAAGCTCCTTAAAGGGGCTTATATAAGGGTCTATATAGAGGACTACTATAGGATACTGTAGGGGTTATTTCGGGGATACTAGGAGTTCACACTAAAGCTCATATGTGCTCCCATGAGGAAGCCTACAGCATCCCTTCATGGTCAGTTCCCTGACCCCTTACTGACCCCGAACGCGCTTTTCTCTCTTTGCGGCAGGCCCCAAGAAGTCCTCCATGAACATGTCTCGACCCAACTTGCTGTTCTGCCGCCTACATGCGCTGTCAGTGTGGAGCGGCTTGAAGGGCCAAAGTCAGAAGGTTCAGGATTTAGGTTTTCACAGTTATTGCTATAAGGTTCCATAGGCTTCAAGCGATGTTTGAAGCCCCATACTCCCATAATGGGACCGGCGGAGTGTTGTGGAGGATGCCGTTTTGGGGGTTTAGACGCGTGCACTTTGAGGCCGTCGCTTAGCTTGACCAGAAGAAGCTTGGCAAACTCCGGGCCAAGTTCTAATTACCCACTGGGCCTTCAACTCTCCCGTCCTGAGGAAGGGATGAGATACAGCGAAATGCTCCTCAAGAGGATGAGAAGATGCTCGAAGGAACCCAAATTTTGAAATATGCTGCTGTACCACAACAAGATTTTCTAATATAGTGCTGGTAGCCCCCAAACCATCATCATCTGCCGGTTGAGTCCCAGGACGTAGTCATGACGCTCTTCCCGGAAAAAATACTAAAAGAAAAAAACATAATTTTGAATAGCTCGGAAGCATATCCCGACGTAGTCCTCATCTAAAAGCATGATAGCTCCAAAACATTTCAAAGCTTGCATTACGAGACCTTGCAGCTTAAACCAATCAACTTGCCTCTCCCGCCACCAGCGATCTGTTTCCAATCCTTCCTGGTGCGGTCGCCTTCTTGAGTCCTGTCTGTGTTACAGCACGGTCCTACAGCACGGTGCTATTGGGATCTCAATCTCCATGGGGCGTGCCCTGTAATCATTTTGTGGGCGATCCATTGTGTAGCTGCAGGGCCCTAACCCAGGGTGATAGTTTCTAGGTAGCAAGCAAGGATGTGGTCCTTGTGAGTTGAGTTACTACCCGATTTTTCAAATTCTCTTGAAGGTATCTCAAAGCCAGAAGCTAATCCTGCGGGATAACCTCACAAAAATCGGAATGGGTTGCATTTTCAACGGCTTCTTGCACCCTCTCTCAGTATCCATGTCGGCATTGGGGCCCTAAACCCACGTGACAAGATGCCACATCATTTCTCCTCGCTGTTGTGTCTTGCACGGGCCCAAACCCTAAGGGTCCAAGTACCTGATAACGATATACCTACCCGAAACCTATACTATACTTACGATATTGCAGAAACGCCAAGTATCTAACTATTGGGTACTTAGACCTTTCGGGAAAATTAAGGCTATGGGCCCAGGGCCTGCTCCTTGGGATACTGGAGCAGAACATGGAAACTGCATAGGGGATTATATGTAATAATGGAAAAGAGGTTGGAAACTACTATTTAGGGTTTAGGCCAAACCATGTGAGCCATTGTCTAAACTCCTAGTATCCCCCTTTAATAACCCCTATAGTAGTCCCCTATATAATCCCCTATATAACCCCCCTTTAAGGGCTGTAGACTATGGCTCATTTAGGGTTTAGGCCAAACCATGTGGCTTGCTGCCTAAACCCTAAACCCTAAACCTAAGCAGCTTAAGCAACTGAAGAATTCAATCTGCCAAGACCAGCAGGACTCAGGCTGCAGAGTCCTTGGGTTTCAGCTGGGGGTCCATGATGGAATTCTTAGAATGTATTATGGTATATAATTATGGTATATGAAAGTTTCTCATGGTATATTATGGTATTTTCTGGGATATTATAGTATATCAGAGTATATTATGATATATTATAGTATACTATGGTATATTACGTAACATAGAAGGCTTAAAACTTTTGCGGGTTGACTGGAAAGGGTCAGGGTTGGGGGGGATTCTCTACCACGGCGCGGCCGCCTCTGCTTGAAGGGCTCGTTCAAGCCCCCGGGTACGGGTGCAGAGATTTAGCGGTGTAGCGTTTAGGGTTTAGGGCAAACAAGATCCGGGAAACATCCCAAACCCAATCCGCGACACCTCCCAAAGCCATCCCTGACATCCCCAATTTCCCCACTCTCAAACCCAGAACCCTGTAATCCATACCACCTAACACGTACAAACCTTTCCAAAGCACAGGGCAAGTACCAAACAAGCTGGCTTTGTAAGGGTCCAAGTAACCAGAAATTCAGTATTTGGGTCATAGTAATTATATACCTCCTATGAGTCCAAAAATATTGGATGGCTGTGCTTGGTCTCAGAAACTCAACCCTAAACCCTAAGCCCTAAACTCTGAACCCTATACCCTAAACCCGGAACCTGAAACCCTAAACCTGACTCGACTTTGGAAGGTCCTTCTCTTGGTACCGGCCGGCCCTCGCCTCCGACCTCAGCATCAAGTGCAGGTTTGATGGGGTTTGGGGTTCATGCTTTTTTGGCGGTTTATGGGGCTTAGAGTTGGGGCTAGTAGGTTTTGAGGCTTATGGGGTTTGAGGTTCAAGGCAATTCATCCTATAGAGGCGTGATAACCTGCGGCCCAAACCTCCGACGCTCGTCTGCCTGCAGTACGCTAGTCTTTTCACAAACAGTGGAGGATCCCAAAACCCTGAAACCTACACCCTAAACCTCTTCTTCGGGCTAGAGCCATCTAAGTCTTCTGGAAATCGCAGCATTTTCAGGAAGTTTGACCTAAATAAAGGGTACATGTACCTATGTAGGGTTTATTTCGGCTCCAGAGTGCATGAAAAGGAACGCTTGGGGACCCAAGTATTTACTGTAGGTACCCAGGCCCTTTGCAACACCCACACACGTTCATGGACTTGTTGCAATAACTGTTTCAAAAGTCTGCGAGTGTAGCTTCTGCCAAAGATCACAATCTTAAGCATCTCTCGCCCGTGATGGGTTGAGAGAGCGAATGTCGTGAAATTTCTGCGGCGCTGTGCCAAATCGCTGTGTATTGTCTTTGGCATTTGGTGGGTTGCCAGGACCTGCAACAAGTGCCCAAAACTCACTCAGCTTCAAACTGACTATGGCTTGCCTAGAACGCAGAACCTCCAAAAACAATCAATGATAGATGATCGCCCTGCTGCTAGATCCCGAACTTCAGCCTCTTGATCCCAAACTTTAGACGTGCCTGATGGAAACATCCCTACACGGTACTAGTGCCAGCAGCAGTGCAAGGAATAATTGCTGTGCTTGTGCCGACCAACCGAACGGCCCATGTCACAATACTAAAAAGATCATTTGAGAACCCTGAATGCCCCTAGACTAAAAATCAAAAACCTTCTATAGCCCCCTGTACAACCCCCCTGTGTACCCCCTACATACCCAACCCCAAGCCCTTAAACTTTAAACCCTGAACCCTAGAATCTATATATCGCCCCATTTGTACACTTGCAACCGCCGGGCTTGCTAACAAGTCCTGCCAACAATGACAGGCTTTGTGTTTAGGGTTTGAGGGTTTTAGGGTTGAAGGGTTTGGGGTTAGGAACAAGAACAACAGTTCATGCCTTTGTCCGAGCTGGCGTCGCCCTACCTGCCTTCAAAGGCATGTCAGATGCCCCAGAGAAGGACCTAGTATTTGAGAACCTGCCTAATACCATGCAAAGGGAGAGAGAGGACAGTCAAGAGGTCATATCATATGTGAGCTATTGGGGCTAGATGGGGACATTATCCCCTAGTAATGGAAAATCAAATGGGAAAAAATGGGAAATTAAATGGAAACTGGGATTATATAGGGGCTTATAAGGGTTATAGTCTAAACTCCTAGTATGCCCCTCGATAGCCCCTATACTACTCCCCTATATCATCCCCTATATATATATATATATACCCCTTTTACTCTAGCTCGCCGGGTGCAAACAACTGTTTCTGGAGGCCTCAACCCATCCACCCAATTTGGAAGGCTTTCGGGTTTAGGGTTTGATGGGTTTGCTTTGTGTCCCTGTAAAAAGTACTCCCCGCCGCCTAACAATTAAACCCACCACCCACTAACATACTAAGTACTTCCTATCTACTGTAGTATACCATAACGGGACTGGTAACCCGCATGGAAGCGCAAAGACCGCAATCTTGCTGCGACGTGGCTTCTGCGCAGTTCTCGCGAACCGCTTGTGGCGACGACCGTCCTTTTCAATACCGTGGCTATGGATTGGGTTACCGTGTAAGGTTTTGGCTGAAACTTTTCGGCGAACCCAAGTATAACTATCGCCTGTATGACCATTATTTTGAAGTTTAAGGCCACGACTATGGGGTTTTGGGAAGTCCAGATAGCGCTTTGAATGCTAGATTTAGGCATGGCAAGGCGTAGGGTTTAGGGCTAGGGGTCCAGGGCTAATGCAGGTTGAGGCTCTTTAGGGCTAAAGAAAATTCTTCTTGGGAAGCTGGTCTTGGTATTGACTCCAAGTGGTCAGCTGTCAGGAAAGATACCTGCGTTCACCATGTGCCCACGATACTCATGCCGGCGGCTGCCAAACGCCAACTATTCCTAAACCCTAAACCCTAAACACTAGTCCCCCCTACTACCAAGGGATAATTCAGGGAAAGCCTCGGATCCAACTGTAAGAGGCCATACAGGGTCCGCTACCGGCCACCTGACCACACAGTAGCTACGTAGCGCCAACATCAGCCATAGCAACATTGCTGTGGGGCATGGGGGTTTTGCACATCCAACAGTTGTGACCCCCAAAGCCTATGCATTTCTACTTACAATTACTGTTATGTCCAGAACCTGGCAACCTTGAACCTGAAAGGAACCTTAAACCTAAAACATGTTTTTTTCACGTGGTACAGTACATGTTCAAGATACTTGTCCACATGACCATATTCTGGACCCCTTTCGATTAGGATCTCGCTTTAAGGAGATGTTTCCCCAATGTTCCCACGAGAACCCTGCACCCTGAACTCCTAAACCCTGTGAACCCCACGAACCCAAAAAAACAATTCCAAGCCTTGTAAACCCCATGAACCGTACAAACCCTACATCCTGCGAATACTAACAACCGTAAACTCACACAGACAACCCTCCACATGAGCTATAGTCTAAACTCCTAGTATCCCCCTTAGTATATAACCCCCATAGTAGTCCCCTCTATAATTCCCTACATGACCCCCTTGAAGGAATTTAGACTACAGCTCACATAAGGTCCTCTTGATCCAGGCGCACGCGCCAGAGGCGCAGTAGGCGCCGCAGCTTTTCCAAGATGCGCTGCAAACGCTTCTGGCGGCCTTGCAGCTGCTTCTGCAACCTGCAAGGCGAAAGTTTGGTTTAGGGCTTAGGGTGTAGGGTTTAGGGCTCAGGGTTTAGGGCTTAGGGCTGGGCTTAGGGTTGAGGGCTTAGGGTTTAGAGCTTAGGGTGTAGGGTTTGGGGTTTGGGGCTTGGGGTTTAGGGGTTAGGGTTTAGGGCTGGACCTCCCAAACAGCCATGATAATGATATTGAACCAACCATCGCTTTGCCTGTATGGGCGATTTGGGAGATCCAGGTGCTGGTGTTAAGAGCTAGGTGGCTTTAAGCAGTAGAGGTTCAGGGGTTTGCAGGCTGAAATCGACTTCATTGTTAGGAGCTCTTTGCGAGATCCAGGGTTGTAGGGATGAGGCGCAACGAGCGCTGCCTTTTTGATTGCAAGCGTTTCTTGTTCATAGAAAGACGAAGAAGCTGCAAACAACTCAAACCCTGAACCCTAAACCCTCTAAACCCTCTGCTGATGGAGGGTACCTTGCTCTACCTCAAGTTCCCATTATACCAGGATGTTCAATGTTAAAAGGACCATAAGATGTCGCAGGCCGCCAGGATCTCTGGCTCCCATTACATAGGGATTATAGGCTTTATATTGGGGTTATATTTATAGGGATAATGGAAAACAACATGGAAACTACTGTAAGGTTTAGGGTTTAGTCAAGCTGTTGCTCTGGCCGGCTTCATTTGGAGCAGCATTCGTCAAGCAAGTAACCACTTACCAAAGACACGAATGTTGTTGCTTTAGACCAAAAGCCAAGGCCCAAAAGAGCTAGGCCACAGACATAAGTTTACAACCCCAAAGCCTAGACCCTAGTCCCTGAACCCTAAATGACAAGAGTGGGGGGCTGATTGTTTCTAAACCAGACCCATGATTAATAACCTCCCTCCCCTTAATAGGGATTGTATCAGGGATCCTTATATATAGGCCCTTAAACGGAAGGGGTTTATTAATCATGGGTCTACATTAGGGGGTGGGGACCGGTCCCTTTCATCTCCAAGGGGCGGGGTGCTGATGCCTTGAGATGGGGGAGCTTTGCTTTAGGATTGGGGTTCAGGTTCAAGATTTGGGGTGTGGGGTTCAGGGGAAGGACTCATGTACCGCAAAGCCGGGTCACAGCGCAAGTCACAAAATGTGACGACCTACCTCCTGCTCCCAGTCACCCTTGGAGTCAGCAGCATAACAACTCAGCTTGCAATCTGCCCCGAAAGAACCTTCAATCCCATAGACAGACCCTAAACCCTAAACCCTAAACCCTAAACTTTAAACCCCAAACCCTAAACTTTAAACCTTTATAAACCCTAAACCCTAAACCCCCAGCCTATGTGGGTCTTCGCGAGCCAAGGCCCAGCGCTCGTGCAGTGGCGGCCTCAGCGGCCTTCCCAACACGAGTTGGATAATAGCCCCCCTTAAGTAGATAGAATATGGCTATGGGTATATTATAATAAGATCCCCATATATCCCATATTCTATCTATTTAAGGGGGAAGAGCTTGGACTTCTGACGTCTTAGAGGTGTAGAGATGCAGGTTATTGCAAAGATGTGAAACCTATAGTCCCCCTTAAGTAGATAGAATATGGGATACTATTACTTAAGGGGGACTATTATCCTATCTTCAACTCCCCAAGAAACCATTCACGTTGAGCACTGCAGCCTATGCATTTGAGCCCTACGCCCCCCATTGCACCTTTCAACCTCAAGAGCTCCCCAAATAACAAACTCAACCCCGCCACCTTGACATGAAAGCAAGAGTTTTTGACATCCTCAACAACTGCAGTCAACTTCCTAGGGCTCCGGGGTTTAGGGGTTTAGGGTTTAGGGTCCAGTTACCAAAATAATGGGTTCTTGGCTCTATATATCCTATAGTCACATAGCCCAGTAGCCTACTATCTATGTGACTGGGAGTCCTAGGGAACTTCTATGACTGCCTATCTCTGAATGCTCAGGAGCCCGGAGGGAAGGCAACCATGTGCATCTGCCAGAGATGTATTGCACGCAAATCGTCAAATCGTGCCAAGTCACACTGCAAGGCAAGGAGTGCAACACCGAGTGACTCTTGCTCAGAAATGGCTGGAAAGGATGCCTACCAAAACAAGTAACCATCACCGAGCATCACCTGCATGAACATAAGAAACCCTGCTGTATCCCTAAGGGCCAACGGTTCCGTTCTTTCATTGCAACACGGAAGAGTTAGCAACAAACTGAACCTCAGCCCCCCAAAATGGCCCCATAGACTCTAAACCCTAGAACGTCCCGCCTATGCGGGTCTTCGCGCGCCAAAGCAAAGCGCTCGTGCAGCGGCGACCTCAATGGCCTTGCAATCAGGATCAGGATGGAAGAGCTGGTATGTACAGTTTGTTGAAGGCGTAGAGGTGGCAACTGATTGTGTACACAAGTTTGAGACTTGCTAAAGATCATGAGCTACAGTATGACGCAATAATATCGCAAACTTCCACGCCTGCATCTGTTGAGATCACTGCTTTAGACGGGGATCTCAGTTTCGACCACTGGGCACCTAGCTTTCCCTTGAACTCGGGCTCCCCCGTGCTTACTGAGAGTTAGTAGGGAATAAGCGGACATTTTACGTACATAGGGATCCACCAGGAAGTTTGGGTTCCCTATCCGGCTACAAAAGCAGCTGTGTTTCAGGAGTAGGCTCCCTGGCATAAAACCCAATCAATGCAAATCGGCCCGTTTGGGGGCGTCTGCCGAATATACTTGGAATTGTAAACGTTAAGACACGAATTTCTGCAATGTTTGGCCTCCATTGTCGAGATGCCCTAGATGTGAATGCTTTATCCCGATGCGCTCATGGCCGTAATTACAAAATGTGAAGTCTGTGTGTGGGCGTTGGAGTGCATTAACATGGACAGCCTGTGATATGTCAAATTTCAGATCCGTCCCGGAGCAACTTCTAAACCCCTGAACCCGCTAAACTCTTGACTTTAAGCCCAAAACCATACAGTACTAAACCTCCCAAGCCCCACCCAAAACGCTAGCAACCCAATCTCTCAGCTGCCTAGCCCCAAACCTTTACCACAGAACGCCCAAGCTGTTGATATAAAAGCCTAGCCACTTACCAACACTATGCGCCTATAGCCCGTGTAAATTCATGATGTGATATCTTCCAAGACTGTGTTCAAATCACATGGGACCCGATATTGCAGTCCCCGTGCCAACCCTTATACATCGCCACCTTCCGTTCCATGTTCCATGTTCTTGTCCATTTGACTCTCCACTAATTGGATCATGCCCGCAACCCCTTCAGCACCAGTAACTCTAAACCCCCCAACCTTGAACTAAACAGCATCTTGCATTTTAGGTTCCGGTCCCCCTCTGCCCTTTTAAACCCTAAACCCTAGATGAGCCATAGTCTAGGCTCCAATTATCCCCTTTAAAATCCTCTCTATAACCCCGCCTTTTGAAGTTTCGACCCTAAACCCTAAACCCTAGACCCTAAGTCCTAAACCCTAAACCCTACACCCTAAGTCCTAAACCCTGAGACATTCACCTGAGTCCTAATTAGACCCTGAACCCTAAACCCTAAGCCCTAAACCTAAACCCTGCAAAATGGTGTAAACCCTAAGCCCAAAACCTTGAATCCTGAACCCCAAACCATAAACCCTTAGCCCGAAACCCTAAGCCCTAAACCCTGAACCGTAAACCCTGCAAAATGGTGTAAGATAAGACCTCAGCAATGTCCTGCGGGAGCGCTGCAAAAGACAGGCACCTGAGGAACGCGCCAACTCCGGGGCTTCTGCAAAGAGGTTTAGGGTTTAGGACTTAGGGTTTAGGGTTTAGGACCTAGGGTTTGGCTTAGGCTTCAGGGTTTATGACTTAGGGATTTAGGGTTTAGGGTTTAGGGTTTAGGGTTTAGGACTTGGGGTTTAAGGCTTAGGGTTTAGGGTTTAAGGTTTAGGGTAACAGTCTGAGGGGTAGGGTTTATTACCATTACGTACGGTTTGGGGGCGGATCTTGGATTCAGCTTTGAAAATTTTATGAAGTTAGGGAAATTTGGAGACCCTAAGAAACAGTAAGTTTATACGGGCTTCAGGGTTTAGGGTTTATGGTTTAGGTTTAGGGTTTAGGATTTCAAGTTACGTTTACAACTAAAGGTGCCATAATATATGGAGTATATAACGGATACTGGAAAAGAAAATGGAAACTACTATTTAGGATTTAGGGTTGGGGGTTTAGGGGTTCGAGGGTTTGAGTCAGAGGCCGGGATCCACCTTGCATCCTGAAATAGGGGTATGTGGTCCCTAAAGATTGGTACTTGGAGGGTCAGGGGACTTAGTAAGTAGGTTACTAACCCCTATAACCCCATGTAGTAACCCTAGTTATCACCATTACCGACCTACTTACTAAGTGCAACTAAACTCTAAACCCTGAACCCTACACCCTAACCTACTCATAGAGGGTAGAGGGAGGGTACGGGTTTAGGGCCTAGGATTTATAGGGATTGCAACCAAGGTTTTGGCTTGCAAATTGAGGCATCCTGTGGGGCACCTAGGGTTTAGGGGTTTAGAGGTTTTGAGTTTAAGGGTGTAGGGTTTAGGATTTAGGGGTTTAGGGATTAGGGTTGGGGCTCTGACTTGAATGAATGTTACCTACATTGGGTTAATTGGAGACCTAGGGATCGAGGGTATAGATGCATGAGCAGACATGAATGCTCCAAAGCTTCTCATGGACATGCTCTGTAGGCTTGTGGGTTTAGGGCTTAGGGTTTTAGGGTTTTGGGTTTAGGGGTTTATGGTTTTGGGTTTAGGGCTTAGGGTTTTAGATTCTGGGAAAGCGGCTACAGTAACTTATTGCAAGTGCCGGGAGCCCCTGAAACTGCTATTGGCCCTGAACTTGAAAGCCCCGCCACTGGGCCCAGCCAAGTATAGGAGAAGAATTTGAATGTCTGAGGACTCACTTAGGGTTTAGTCTTTAGGGTCACTGCCTGGGAGCTACTTGCCAAGCCCTTTCCGTATGGCAGAAGCTGCAAGTTGGAACGCCAGTATGTCCCTACCCCCAGACCAGAACACACACGTCATCCCCTATTTCCACGCTCCAAACTTTTGACCTAAACAAGTAGGCTGCTTATATGTCGGCCCAAAAGTATGTGGATAGTGGCCACTGCGCAATGTCGGTGCTTGGACTCTGAACACATCACCCGAAAATGCCAGGAACAAAAAACTAAGCCCTATACTGTTGCCTAGCCCTAGGGCCCAAGTACATGTTACCCAAAACCGGCACTAGAATTACAATTAAGAAACTTCTCAATTAAGAAACTTCTCAAGTCACAAGTACCTTGAGTACCTTGTTATTGGGTACTTGGACCTTTAGCATAGCATACCCGCACGTATCCCTAGATACCCGCATACCCCCCCTTCATATCCGTATACTATCCCTATAGAGCCATCTATACCCACCCTAAACCCTAAACCCTAAACCCCCATGTCATTTTCTTGGTTACCTGCCAGGGAACGCTCCTCCCGAGCCATGCGCGTGCTCTCCCATCGCTGGAAGCACTTTGAGCGGTGGCCCTGGGCAGAGGAAGGCTACGCGGTTAAGGCTTAGGGGGTTTAGGGTTTCGACGGTTCATAAAGGAGACCGCATACAGAATTCTGTCTCCCAGACACAGTACTGAATCAAGAGGGTACGGAACAGAAAAAGTTTCAAAGAAAACGTGGCAAGGCAATTGGCTGATTCAATACCTCAAACAGGTACCCACAGACCCTCAGGGCCCCAACAACTGCCTCATTTGCAACACTTGTCTTTCCAGACGTTGCACGGGCAGCTGAAAACCTAATCCAGGTGCCCCAATACCTACCCTAAATCCTGGACCCTAAACCCTAAACCCTAAATAGTGGTTTCGATTTTCTTTTCCACTATCCCCTATATAGCCCCTTTATAATGCATATATAACCCTAAACCCTACCCTTTTGAGGTGTATTGGAGGGGAAAATCTAGCACCGCAAGAGGGGTAATTATACGTTGCCCAGGCCTTCCCATAGCATGTAATTAGGAATCTGAAACAAATCAGAAAAAAAACACAGTAGGCATAGAACGAAAGGCCTGTGTGATTTGTAGCCGTACTTCTGAGAAGCCACAGGGGATACCTGAGTAGAAACTAACCCCCTCTGGCCTCTAAGGCAACGCATTAGTCCTTAATGCCTTCATGGGTTTTGGACATTTGAGAGGCCCCTTGGTGTTCCTATGCCTGCGTAGTACATCTTATGTACGGCAGACGCACTGAGCATCGTATGTAATCTACACTCCGACCACCTATGACGCTAAGACAAGGACCTGCGATGGGAAAAGCCACGCTGGACACAAACGAACCCTTGGAAACCTGGGACATGCAGGGACCCTAAACCCTAAAGTCTCCTAACCGTAGATGCAACCTAAACCCTAAACTTCAAAGACCTACACTTATGGGTTAGCGCCTCATTGGAAGTGTACAGCGCCTGCAGCCTCTCGAGTACCTTTGCCACGGCAGTCTTTTTGAAGTAGGGGGCCCTTGGGGATTCTAGGGATATACCGGGAATTAAAACGGGACTTGGAGGGCATCTCAATGTAGGATTCTAGGTGGGGCTATTACAGAAACACCCATCTTGCAGTAGGGTTTAGGCTTTAAGGTCACAGTTCCACTGGAAAGTCATGGTTTATGATCAAGGGCTGCATGATGTGATTCTGGGAAGTAAGAACCCCAGCATGTTCAGACTGCAGGACCCTTCAGTTGTCGGAAAAAAGCCCAAAGGTTGCGTCCTGCCCTCACCCATTAACAGTTTATAATGGGCTCATATATTAAAGGCTATAGATACATATGTGTATATATATATATGAGCAGCTACCTAAATTATTAGTAAACTGCTAAGTCAAACTTTGGGGGCCTATCGCTCTACCGGGTTTTTGCACACTGCTGTCATCCATTTCGGGGGTATCGTTTTTTTGGTGGGGCCATTGCTTTATTAGGCCTGGATTTCATTTCTGCCTGCTCTCGGCTTCTACAGGATAAGAAAAGCGGTCAGTCATATGAGTATATTACAAATTCTGGCCAACCGTTGCCAAGCTGGGGGCAGTACCCAACCCAAAGGTGAAATGCTGTAAAACAGGTACCGTTTCTCCAGTTGGACATTCCGCATTCCCGATGTCTCTGTCTCACTACTTAAGGAGTACGCGGGTTTAGGGTTCAGGGTTTGGGGGTCCGGAGTTCTTGGTCCAAAAAAGCAAGCACTCACAAGATCACCATGTTAGAAACGCTCTAAACCTACATATCCCTGTAAAAACCCCTATGTATATGTATATATAGACTTCTTCTATACCACCTTGTAAAAAGACTATTTATGCAGAATATCAGAGGCAAAGAGAGGACTACCCAAACATGGATATCTACCAAACAAATGGTCACCGCACATCCCCTCTGGTTACCTCATTTTTCAGTAAGGTTGGAAGTTCAAAACACATCCCTCATATGTAATTGCTCTAGAGGGACCCGGCCAGGGGACCTGTAACCTTGCGTATGCACACCCCCTCTCCACGACCCTGCCCCTAGACAGCTGACCCTAAATCTAACCACAAGGGTCCAAGTACTAAATAATCATATACTTCCCCAAAACCTGTATTACCATTACTATTACCCATATCTTAAGTACCTCAACCCTAAACTCTAAACCCCTAAACCCTTCACCCATGGGTACTTGGCTCCTTAGGGTAAACCTCCCGCCAATGCTTAGACAACTTTGCCAAAGCATGGGAGCGGCTGCAGACCTCTCCATGCCGAAGCCCTTGCAAATCTCTGCCTGTGTTTTCCAAAGGGTCCATGTCGGCAAGGGTCCAAGTACCCAATAATCATATACTTACCCAGAACCTGCACTACACACACTTACTTACCCATAACCTGCACTACACACACTGTTACCCAAATCCCAATACCCAATTATTGGGTACCATGGACCCTTAGGGCAGTACATACCTGGGGTCCAACTTGGGGCCGAGGTTTATAACCTACATGGACCCTTTCCCTAAGGCTCCAAAAAGCCCAATGTATGTGATATTTATAGAGTTTGGGGCCCAATGTAGGTACTATTTACGGACATGGAGGTCCACGGCTTGGGATTTGGAAGCTAGGGGGGCTTCGGAGAGTTAAGGCCGGGCTTTGTACGGACCATTTGAGCTATAATTACCGACGTTATATAGGGGTTATATTGGGATATAATCCCCAATAATGGAGAATCAAATGGAAAAGACAATGCATAATGAAATGGAACTGAGATTGTATAGGGGATTATGGGGTTGTAGTCTTCACTCCTAGTATCCCCCTCGATAGCCCCTTATCATACTCCCGTATTCAGCCCTGTAATACTCCCCTATATTTAAAAAAACATCCTATACAACCTCTTTCAAGGAGTTTAGGCTATGGCTCATTTGTGGAAAATCTGCTCCTTGGATCCAAGCGGCATAAATGTGACAGAACGCCTCCCACTGCTTCTCCAAATCTGTCAGGGATCACTTCAGGAAGACGCTCCGGATGGGAAGCTGTAGATGGGTCCACAGTAAGTGACTCATACGAACTCCTGTCTCAATCCGCATGCAGGGTTTGCAACTTGCAGATCAACACGTTGAAAAGTATGACGGTTGAATGTGTGCGGCTCCCGAGTTCCAAGTGTCATCGCGCTAGTCACCGAACTCAAGTTTTGCGATACACTCTTCGCGACACACCGAGAGAAATGACAAAAGCCTCGTCCAAACGTAACCTTGCAAACATACTTGCTCCCAACTTGAACTACTTAGAGGGTCAGGGGGACTTAGAATGTAGGTCAATAATGGGGATATAAATGGGGTTACTATATGGGTTATAGGGTTGATTGACCTACTTACTCGGTCCCCCTGACCCTAAACCCTAAACCTGGAAGCAGTGGAACTCAGAATTTGCTGGACGGTGCACAAGAGATACCCCAAGCGTATCCCAGAGCCGCATGCTGCCCGGAGTGGGCTGTGAGACCTATGCTAACAAGGCAATCTAAACTACCTGAACCCCAGACCTATGTAGAATAATAGCCTTTTGGGCTGTTTTTAGGGTTTTAGGGCCATTAGTTTACCTACTTTTGGGGTCCAGGTATAGTAAAATAGCACTCTCCAGCTTAGGATTCCGGCGTTAGGCTCTCCATGCTTTAGGATTCTGGGTTTAAGGCTTCAAGATTTATAGTCCCCCTTAAGTAGATAGAATGTGGGGTGTATGAGGATCCCATTATAAAAATATACCCAAGGCCAGATTCTATCTACTTAAGGGGGACTACTGCTTTTATCTCCTTGTAACCCTTTCGAAGCTATTTGAGAATGTATATACCCAGACCCTCCTATGTAGTTCCTTTTTGGGTAGTACATTCTAATCCTTACCAAAAAATCATAACAGACCCAACAAGGAACTACATTGGAGCCCTTGGGCAAATACCAACACACCAAACCCGGTTCTAATTGAAGTGGCTCCTCGGTGGATTTGGTAGTTTTCCCTGAATCGGGAGACCCCAACATCGACCCCCAAATAATTATTGTTATTTGGATTACCCAAAACAGGTCCCCTTGGGAAACCCTCAAACCCTGACCCTAAACCCTGAACCCTGAACCCTAAAAGCTTTACTGGATTTCGGGCTTCCGGCGGCCTGGAGGGCTGGAGCGCCTCAGAAGGTTCTTCCGGCGGCCGCGCTGATTCAGCATGTTGATCTCGCCTGCGCTCTGTCAGCAGAAGCGGGGTGGGGGGTGGCGGTGTCAAGATGGAGGCATAATGAAAGATCTGGAGGGTTGAAGGATTAGGATTTAGGGCCTGAGGATTTCAAATAAATGAGGAGGCCTTGGAGATCGCAGACCCTGCAAATGTATGGAGATGGGAAGGAGATTGCAGGATTCTCTTATAGCTTTGGGAAGCAGTAAAAGGTTGCAGTGGAAGCCAGGAGCATCAGTATGTACTCAAGTTTAGTTTAGGGTTCAAAGTTTAGGGTATAGGGGTATTATTAACCCCAAAATCAAGAACGAGGAAGTACCAATTGGCGGGCCCTTGGTTTCCATCAGGGTTTCTGAAGATGATAGGTTCCCTTAATAAACCCTCTTCTATAAACATCTTACTGTTCTGGGGAATGGCTTGGGATAAAAAAGCAGTATGAGCTGTAGTCTAAACTCCTAGTATTCCCTAAATAACCCCTATAACGCTCCCTTATAAACACCCCATTTCAAACCCCCTCTAAGGAGTTTACACTATAGTACAGATGAGGGGGGTTATTAGGGAGAGGGGATTCCTTCCCAAGCTTCCGAACCTGACCCGAAAGCGCAGCCTGGTATTGAGATGGCTAGGAGCTGGAGGTCCTGTTGAAAGGGTTTAAGGTTTACGGCTTCGGCTCTCGCCAGTAAGCGGTTATGGCTCATGGGGTTATTCCCCCCCCTTTGCAGAAATCCTCCTTGAAAGGGTCTTATTAAGGGCTTCTAGAAGAACTCCTATTATCCATAGTGCTAGGGGCAAGGGCCTAAGCTACAGCGCTGCCTAGTCTGCTTTAGCCGACATCACCTAATAAGCTGACATCTGGTAAGCTACTTGCCCTAAACCGTGGACACCTCCATATCCGACTATAACCCTATTCCCAAATCCCAAACCCTGAATCCCACAAACCAACAGGTCCCCTATGCCCCTCGCGGAGGTTTCCCAAAATTGGAGGTACCTTTTTGGGAGTCCCCATAAGAAACGGTGAAAGTGTATTGGGTCTATACTGGGAGCGCTAAACCCAAAATGCTAAACTTCCCAATCTTCCCAGCTGCTCAAGCGTTCGTAGGCGGAAGCAAGTTCAGAGACAGATTGAAAGCTCGGGGTCATCAGCTGGTAGCCGCCGAGCCAAAACCTGAACCCGGGTTGAGTTTTAGGGTTTAGGGTTTAGGGTTGAGGATCTAGGGCTCAAGGTTCAGGTTTCAAGGTGCTCTTAGGTACCCTGCCTAGCCCATAAGAATAGTATGTATGTCCAGACCTTGAGGGTCCAAGGACCAAGATCATAGGATTTCAGGGCCCGAACACTATCATATCAATGGTATTTGGTCCCTAAAGCCCCATTCGTTGGGTCCTTGGTGTAGAATTTGGGGGTAAAATGCTCCTATTTTACCCTGGGGCTCCCAGTTGCCTAAGAAGTAGGCTACTCTGCTATGCAACTATGGGGTATATAGAACCCTAGCCCTAAACCCTAAAACCCTAGGGATTAGAAGGTCTAGGTCGAGGTATGAAGGGATTCCTGAAAATCCAGGGAGGTGACTGTAGAGATCCTTCAAGTCCATAGGCATTCTTCAAAGTTTAGGGTTTAGGGTTTAGGTTTGAGGGTTTGGGGTTTACGTTTCAGGGCTTAGGGATTAGGAATTGATATTCAGGGTTCATAGCTTAGGGATTGAGAATCTAGGAAATTTGCTTTTGTGGGAAGCAAAGATGCGTCGGGCGACAACAGCGACTACCAGGGAAGCGGACTCATCCAAGACCAATAGGCCAGGATTCACTTGAGCAGGCGTGCCTTGTCAACTGTTACCCTATAGTCCCCACGAAATAGATAGAATATGGCTTCGGATGTGTTATAATAAGTTCCCCATATACCGTATACCACATATTCTATCTACGTAAGGGGAGCTATAAATTCAACCCTTGAAGCGTGGAAGGGCTATGGTTTAAGTTTTAGGGTTTAGCGTTTAGGGCTTAGGCTTCAAAAGCAGAGTGCTAAGCCTGGCTTGGACTTCCCCACATCCTGCATTTGGGCTACTTTCACACAGCCTGGAAATTTCCAAATATGATCCATATGAGCTTTACTCTAAACTCCTAGTATCCCCCTCACTCAACCCTGTAGTAAGATACCAATATAATCCTATAATCCCTATATAACCCGCCTTTTTGGAGTTAAGACCCATCCTATATAACACCGTGTTTGCAAGAAGGAGTTTAGACTACTCAATATGGAAGCATCAGAAAAGATCCTCAGAATCCCCTTGAAATCCCGACCCTCCCTGAGGCGGCCGAGGGTCCCCCTGAAAAAAGAAGCCCTCAATTCCTAAACTCTAAACCCACCAAGAGCAGTGCCTGTGGGACATCAAGATCTTGAACCTCAGATCGACACTTTGGGCCTTGAACTTTGGGAACTATAGGCCATGTGGACGAATCCCAAAATTAGGAATACCAGTTCAGGGGTCCCTATAAAAAAATACTATATTAGATTCGGGTCTATATTGGGTCACCGTAGTTATGGAAAGTACCATGTCATTGTAGAAGCCTAAGGAATTCGATGTCTCCATGCCCTGGCAGAAGCATAGTATAGCACCGCCTTGTACCCTTGGGCTCCATGCCTATAAATAATACCTACATTGGGCCCAAAACTCTATAAGTATGACCTGCATTGGGCTATTTGGAGCTTTAGGATAACCCTAAACACTAAACCTTGGGTACTACCCCCCCAGTAACAGTCTACATTAGGGGTCCTTTTAAGGGCTACTTATAACCATATTATGATTAATATCCAACTGTTACTGAGGGGGGCAGTACCTAAACTAAACCCTAAACACTAAACCCTAAATTTAACCCTAAACCTTAAACCCTAAACCCTAAACCCTGAAACCCTAAACCCTGAAACCCTAAACCCTAAACCCTGTAACCCTAAACACTAAACCCTAAAACTCTTTCATCCCAAGCCCCAAACTCGAAGCCCTAAGGCCTCGCCTTGAGGAAGCCTAAACCCAAAGCCCTCAATGCGAGGCAAGGTGGAAAAGCATACATAATCAGAACAGGGCTTACTGAAGGAGGTTTAGGGTGTAGTGTTTAGGGTTTAGGGGGCTACCCTACAGCTCCAAATAGCCCAATGTAGGTCATACTTATAGAGTTTTGGGCCCAATGTAGGTACTATTTATAGGCATGGAGCCTCAGGGTCAAGGTTGGGTACAAGCGTGGAGACGAAAAGGACCACGACCAAGCGATGTATAAGACAGTGGGCGGGTGAGCTTTCGTCAGGAATAGTGTGATTTCAGGTCAAGAACCCAAGCGCAAGCGCACTTGCTGAGATAACTAGTCCGAAGAGATTTATTGCAAGGAAAGCTAGCGCACTTGCCCCCTCGGTTCCTAATGCGGAAACCCCTGTGAATCTGTGCGGGTACTGCGCATGAAATAGGCATCATAGATGGGAGCGGGGTCTAGCTCTTGAAACGCTAGGGTTTAGGGTGTGGGGTTTGAGGGAACTTTTACCAAAGTGCCGAGGCGAAATCAATATACGCCCAAAAGGATGTTCAGGGAACAGCTGGCGATCATGCAGGAACTGTATGGTACCACCCTTTGTCATCCCTCTGTACTAAAGGTGAGAAACAAGCCTTAGCGGAGATAATAGACAAAAACTAACTGTGGTCTTCAAAGCTGGCCGAAGAAATCGGGAGTACTTCTCAGGCACTTGAGGCCGTGGATCCGAAACTCTAGGCTTTAAACCATATAAGCCGAAAATTGAACCCTGACCAAAAAAGGCGACACCACCCAACTCCAAACCCTGGACCCCAACCCTAACCAACACTCCTGAGCTCTAAAACCCTAAGCCCCCAACCTCCAACCCTAAAGCCTAAAACCTAGCCCTAACCCAAAACCCTAAGCTCAAAACCTTGAGTCTACCACCTTAAACCCTAAACCCTCAAACCTAGCCCTAACCCAAAACCCTAAGCTCAAAGCCCGAAGCCCCCAACCTTAACTTAAACCCTTAACCCTAAGGGTCCAAGTACCTGATAATCATATACTTACCCAAAACCTGTACTATAATTACTATTACCCAAATCCCAAGTACCTATAATTATTGGGTACATGGACCCTCTGGGTTAACAATCCCCTATATGATCCCAGTTTCCATTTCATTTTCATTTTCTTTTCCATTTGATTCTCCATTATAGCCCCCAACCTTAACTTGAACCCTTAACCCCTGTCAGAAACATGCCGAAAGACCTCACATTGAACTCGTGGCCCAGGCGGCCACCATGCTCCGAAGCAGAGGCCTCGACGGCCCGACGCCACTTCTCCTGGAGCCACGAACCCCAGGAGGACATGATAGCCTCTCCCTGGGGTTCCATGTCTATAAATAGTACCTACATTGGGCCCCAAACTCTATAGATATGACCTACATTGGGCTATTTGGAGCCTTAGGGTCTGTAGAATCCTCATATGACCCCCACAGTATTCTGTGGGATATAGTTGTTCATTTGGTTTTGCTTTTGTGATCTCGGCCTCAAGTGGTTTCGGCCAATTGTAAGGTCCTTCTTACCGTTTCTTAGGTGTAAAACACTTGCCGTTGCCCCAGTGTCCACTCATGAGCTGTTGGGTGTCTATAGACCCCCCAATGCAAATTCTGGCCAGTGCTTGCACGCTTGGACCCTCTGGAGCTGGACAAGGCTCAAAACCACGTCCATGTTCATGGATGATACGGGTACTTCAAGGACGAACCCGCCAGCACCACTAGACCCCAGCATTTAAGGGAGAGTTATCGGCTATAGAGTTACGTGAAAGCTACGCCGGGTCTGGTACACACCTAAAAATACCAAAAACATGGAACATTGCACACCCCTCCCAAATTTGACCATGACTCCGCGTTCACGTGAAAAGACTGCCCTAACTTCCTTTTATCGTAGGAAGGTAGAAAGTGCCAGTGCCATTGTAGATTAAGGCACATCCCCGACGTTTTAAG